GCTCTGTCCGCTGACTCATGATGCTGGACGACCTAGAATGAATCATCATCTAATTTATTAATGTATTTGTATGCGCCTCTGTACTCATCTCCACACAGCTGCCTGCACGGTGTATTTATGATTATATATTTGTAGTTTTATACGCACTCTCTCTAATGCACAAATCTCACACTTTGACAAAAACAGCCTATTTCATATCATGTCGATCAGACATACAGTCAGTCCTTCAAGTAATGTCTGCTGGAAATGAAACTAGGCAACTGTTTGCAAACATGTTAGTCATAGCAGCTTTATAGGCTAGTAGTTAAAAGGGCACTCCATACTTTTTGCAGACTTGACTTTACACAGCTATATAGTGAGTTTCAGCTCATAACTGTTGTTTTCAGCAGATGTTTTCAATGAAAAAGCTCTAAAAACCCACTGTACACTACCTACTCAGTACTAAACAGAATACAGTCACAGTTAGCGACTAGCTGGTGAACATAGTGGAGAATTATGCGGCTAAATAGCCAGATAGTTCCCTCAGGAATCAGTAGAGACCCAAAACAGAGCTAGAATATAGTGAGCATTGAACTTTGAAGTGCCCTGAAAACAAGACTCCAAATGAATTGAATGTTATACTGCTTTGTAATTGCTTGATGTGTAAATTAGCAACTGCTAAATTTGCTAACAAGTTCATCATAACAACTTAAAAGGTGATAATACCGTAAAACTTCAGTTAAAAGCCTAGTCCCAATTAGACGCCTGTCCCTTTTACTGGCCTGGTGTGGCTCCACAATTCCACAAATAAATGCAGGTCCCAATTAGACACCTGGTCTGGTTTTTATGTAAGATCTTTGGATGTATAAAACCTCCCGAAACCCACCAGGTCACGTGCTTTAACTAGTTCTACGCTGCTTAGACCATAGATAGAAATATAACTATTTAAACCTTTGTCAATATGGACATGCTAGATATATTGAACTAAAGAAGTATCTTGGATGAGGGATGAAATGCCATCAAGTATCTTCAACTAAGTCCAGTTGCCCTTGATTTTCACCTTTTTTGGATGGACATGCTACACATCAGTTCATTTTACAAAAACAATAAACACCAACGTATTAGTCATTCAGATTTAGCCTTAACAGTATGTCGGTGTTAGTATAGTTCACTATGTGTTTGCAGGTTTAAGGGACACCCGTTAAAAGACAGAAGCTACCTTAGTGGTTATCAAATGTGCAAAAAATCTAATTACCACAGTAACTGCCAAGTAATATCAATAGTAAATGCTACACAGATAACTTGGTAGGTGTGGCCCGGCACTGGGTGGTGACAACTGAAAGGTATGTTGCTATTAAGGTGTTATTCCATCTGAAGCCTCCTGATCAGCTCCTTGTCAAGCCTCTGAATCTGCACTGGAGGTGAATCTTACAGGAGATACTCCCTCCCTCAGGTTGTGTTTTGATTGATAGTGATAAGGAGAACTAGTTTGACGCCAAAAAAATCTCCCATTTGTGTTCATTTTAGTTGAGATCTGGAGACTGTCGTTCACATCATTATAATACTTTATAAACCATTGAGTGAGCGCTCCTGACCATCAAACCGTTAACTCATTAACGTTATGTGTCTTCACTCATTTCAGCAGCTTTTTCCTGTAATTTATCGCCCGTCTTTAGGTCTGTTAGCTAAAAAATGTTGCACTATTTTACTCAGCTATAACACGGGAGTTAACGTTAAGTTAGCCAAGACAAGTATACGTACAGTCTTATCCTTTATGTGTTTCTTTAACACCATGTCCCCACTGCGCTGCTTCGATACTCACCTGTAATGTTTTCACCGATCACAAGCAGGAAGGAGCCGAGGAGCAGACCTCCTCCAGGTTCCTGTTTTGAGAGACGACCAGGTGCGGAGGGTCAAGACAATGACGTTTCTAACACGGAAGTCTGGTGATGACATAAATACTGCTGATATACATATTTTATTATTATTATTATTATTTATTTGTGATCTTAAAAAAGTGGGAACAGAATTGTTGTTCGGGAAAACGATTGGAAACGGATTCAATAGTTGTGTCATGGAAATGCTGGTTAAAGTCAGAAGTCTATGTACTTCCGCATCGAGGGCTAATTTTTTAAGGATTGGTGCATGTCGTCATGCAGCAACAGCCATGTAAGGCGAGGGTCATGTGACCGAGTGCGAATAGAGTTCATTAAACCAACAATATCTAATAAGAGGGATTGCTGTTTTTTCTATAAATAATTTAAGTTTGCTTTTAATCATTTTGAGGGGTTTTTGTTGTTGTTTAAGTTATTGTGAAGGTGTCATTTTGGGGTAATTGTAATGCCATTTGTCACTATTTCCATTTTTTTTTACAAACTAAACAAACAATTAATCAATAAAATAATCATCAGATCTATCCACAATGAAAATAATTATTCATAATTGCAGTCTAATACAAAATAGTTAAAATTAGCTCCACCCCAATCAACTACAACAGTAAAATTGTGCTTTTACATTCATATAATATTAATCAAATGACATAATATATAATCATATAATAGTCACAGGGGAGATTTTTCTGCATTAATTACTTCAGGTACACTGAAAAAAATTATAAAATATTCTGGCCTTGACCATGAAAGAAATAATTTGACATTTTGGGAATTACATTTATTTGCTTTTCTTGCCAAGAGAAGATGAAAAGATTGATGACACTCTCATTTTTGTCCTTTAAATATGAAGTTTAGCTTAGGATAATAAAAACTGGAAATGTTTAAATATCTAGCCCGGCAACAAAATCCTTCTACCTGCAGCACCTCCAAAGCTTCAGAGGGTTATGTGTGACTAAGTATTTCTGATTTTGCTACACAACGGACATAGACTCACTTACATTAACACATTTTCCAATTCCTCATTCTCACAAACTGTTTGTGTACACTGATACTACCTTCTCTATTTTTAAAGGTTTTTAACTATATCCAGCTTCCTCTTTTGTGTACCTTTGACACATTTTAAGACACAGGGAGATTGTACTTTCCAGTTGGAAGCCCCCCAAGCTTTGGAATAGTCTCCCAATAAGCCTGAGGTCTTTGGACTCTGTGGACTTTCAAAAGCAACTAAAAAACTGTCTTTTCAGACAGGCATCCAGGTGGCAAGTGGTTTTTAATGTTTCAACATTAAAAATGTCTGTTCTTGGTGTATTTTTTATCTGGTATGTTATTTTTATTTTATTGATTTAACCCTATTTGATTTTATTTTATTTCTTTCTGTGAAAGGTGAAAAATGCAGACAATTTGAAGTTATTTCTGGACATCATTGAACAAGCTCAATATTGTTTTGACTCATACTTGAGCTAAAGTCACAGGGATCTAGCTGCTTACTTATTGACATTAAGGTTAATGTTCAACGGTTGCGTCTAAGTCTAAATGCCAATCTGATTACAAAATGTACTGTTATTTCAGTTTTTTTTAATTGGCTGCACTGAAGCTTGCTGAGGCAGTGATTTTTGATTCTTTCAAAACGCAAGAATTTCTGAAAATCCAAATGTTGATAGAGATAGAAATTTGACCAAATTTAAGTGAGAATGACAAAAAAACATGCAACAGCACAGATACATTTCTGTAAGAGTCTTGTAGGTCAAATAACAGATTTTCTTTAGGACAAGAAATCAATTAGTTTGTCTAAAACTTAAAGTGTGTTGTAAACATTTTTATATTTGTATAATGTTTGGGAATTTCTCAAGGATGTGGTAGGTGAACTAATTGACCTGGAAACCTGGAATCAGTGTGTAACAGACAAAACTGTGTGAAGTACAGAAAAACACAGGTCAGTAACTTAACAAATAAGCAGTTGCAGATGTGATTCGCGTATCAATCCTGCTACGGTATGATTCAGGTATTCAATCAACTTCACAAAAAAGATCTGACATCCTTCAAGTTTTCAAAAAAAAACTTTTTTTGCTTTTGTATTTTGGTGCATAACAATGAGCACACTAAGATAAAAAAAAAAAAAACATTTTTAAAAAATAGTACTACAAAAGTCAAGAAATATACATTTAAAATTCAAAAACATTTATGTCTGTTTCAAAAATGATAGAGCTGTCTAGTTTGTGCAGGAATGTTCAAAATACTGACTAAGGAATGTACAAAAGTCCACAGTATCGTGTTTTCTGATGTGACGGCCCTATCGACAGGAGGACAATGGTTACAAATCACTGCTGAAAAATATAAGTTTTATGATGTGGCAGCACCAGGGTAAAAGTTTAGGCAGAAAAATAACTTTAAACGGTTACAGAATAATTGTAGTCATGCTGAAAAAAAAAGTTAACTGACAGGAGGTCTATTTCTGACCTTCATTGGTTTAACTTCTCACCTTGATGTAGTGATGTAGACATGTACTCCAGGTGTGTCATTACACCGACATCACTGCTATGGCATGAATATAGTCCAAATAACACGTATGCAATTCGTTAAAACTAAATTTAAATTCTGTTCAAACTAAATTTTAATTCTGTTTATACGAATTTTAAATTCTGTTAATACTAAATTTAAATTCTGTTTATACTAAATTTAAATTCTCTTTATACTAAATTTCATGTCTGCATAAAGTAGGTGTGTCTACACATGTTAATGTCCACCAGATAACTGTGATTTAGCAGTATGCTGCTGTATAATTACAGTGTAAACTGTATTGAAACTCTGCATTAAGGTTTGGGTGTAGTTAGGTGCAACAGGTGCACTTCTAAGGTAAACAACTTCCAATAAGAAAGGGAATTTAAACATTTCTTGTCTGCTGTCAAGTTCCTCTTTAAAGACACTAATGATAAGAGATGATCAGAGCAGGTGGAATTAAGGTTGATATGATATTCCTGTAACTACTGTATGCGTGTGTGCAAAAACCTTGTTTCATTTGAGGAAATGCATTTCTATGTCTGTTCATGCGTGCTTTGGCGGACTGGTCATACTGATGACATCATTCTGTCTGGGGCAAATAAACACACAGAGGGTCAGAAACACTGATAATAAGCAGGCCTGTTGCACACACACGCATACATACCAACAGACACTATTTAGACAGACAGATATAGCCATGATCCTGATGGGTCGCAGTCTGTGTCTTCCTTCTCCAGCCACCGTCCAGGAGCTGTTCTCTGTGGCTCGAGACGCCAGCATCATCCCCGATATCTCCTTGGATCCTGTCCTTACCACCTTCCTCTCACTGGACTCTTCAGCAGCACTGCAGCATCAATATGCTTTCTTACAGCGGAGCATGAGCAGGGAGCAGCAGACTGCATTCAGCCTCAGCTTGACTAGAGAGCTGGGAGGCAGCAGCAGGGTCACATATGGAGGAGTAGGGGTTGTTGCTCTGGCTCTGTCCATGCTTTTTGACCAGGTTGCCCAACAAGTGGGTAAAACGTTTTGGTTTTGTCTACTGATTGTATGGCAGGTTAAAAAAGCTCAGAACATGCAATTTTATGAGGCCAAAATAAGGTTGAAATGTAGTTTTTAGTGCAATATCTTGACAATTATTGGATGGATTGATATTCATGATCCTGAGACGATGCAGCCTACTGACTTTGATGATCCCCAGACTTTTCCTCTAGCAGGTCTAATTGTTAATTTGTCCTATACTTTATGACGAAACACCTGCAAAACTATTGACATTCCCATCACCCTCGGCTGCACTTTATGCTAATTAGCAAATGTGATGAAGTTAATACACTAAGAAATGGTAAATATTACTTTGTTAAACATGAACATGTTACCATGTCACTGTTGCTGCATGCTGACATTTAGCTCAAAACACCACTGTGTCAAAGTGCAAAGTCAGAGAGGAGCTAGCATGGCTGTAGACTTTCCTAAAGCATATTTCCTAATAATTCAGTTGCATGCACCCAGCTATGTACAAGATAATTGCTTTACAGAGACAAACTAACATTAACGTCATTATACTGGTACAGTTTGACTGAAATTTGACACCAAAGGCTACTGTTAAAATCTCTTAAAAATATGCCCAAAGAAGGTTAAAATCAAGGACAACTGGACTTGGTAGAAGATACTTGAAGACGATTTGTCCCTCATCCAAGAGACTTCTTCAGGTCTAAATCTCTTACAAATTTGGCTTTGCAGGCTTGATTCTCTAGCCATAAGGCCTTTCTATTTTATCACAAAGCATAATGCTAAAACAGACACAAAATTTCTGCCCACCAGGTACGGGCACAAGGAGAGGGGCGCCTATCAACTGAAAGATCCCAGGCTGTGAGGATTTTTGGCATCAGCAGTTCTTCAAGAATTGGCTGGATAATCCACAGCTACCTCAGCTTGGTCCCTGGCATTGCCAACAACCTGGAGAAGATGTCTGAGACCACAGAGCTCTATGACAACTGGCTGAGGTTTGAGCTGCTTGACCATTATGAGAGGATGACCACTAAAAAGAGGATGAGTACAGAGTCCATGCAGCAGTGGTTAGCAGGAGCTGCAGTTCATCTACACATGAGAATTCACCAGGTTAGGACAGATAAAACACCAACTTAGGTTCAAATGCATGTCTTTATTTCTGCTACAGTGTAAAGATATACTCTGTAAATTACGTTCTCTGCAGAAATCATAATTTTTATGTTTATCATTGTATAATAGTTAATCAAAATCAAATCAGCAGAACCAGAGATATTGTCCATTTTATTCCATGCATTCAAAACCCAGTTACATTACCCACAATCCAACTAGACCCCTGACAGTTCAGTCCGATATTATGGTTATGCTAGCAGCTAATGTAGCCTCGAGCCACTAGCCTCAGGCAGAGAGGAGGAGCTACAGAGGTCTGGTAACCTCATTTTTCTACGCCACACCTCCAGATTTGCTTGATTTTCAAACTTCAAAAAGTCTTCAGACCCAACCGACGCTGACTCAAATGATATCACGTGAGGCAATTTATCAGACTTTGGGTGGCTTTATGGGGCCACAAAAAGCTTTATATTACTTTTTTAATATATATTCAGTAGCACTCCCCAAGACCTATAAACTGTTAAAGAGGAACATCTGTGCAGTTCCGCTTTAAAAAACAAAACAAAGTAAGAATTGTACAAAAATGATTGGCTTGCGTAGGGAGGCTTATGTAGTGTTGATTTTGGAGTTATATTAATTACAACTTTTTGACGTAAATTGTTCACACCAACATCACAACACAAGTCGTAATTATAACTGGGAAAATGTGATTTTTCTGAACACAAACCAGACAAATATGGGTGCTCTAGCCAATGACTGTAAATTAGTGTAGTTAAACCTGATTTTAATTTATATGGTGTTATATTATCAACAAACAGTATTTTAACCCTTACCCTGACTATGTAATCATTCAACAGTCTTGATGACATGAATGCTCACAATTCATTAACATGGGAATCTTTCGAATTTCTGCCATCCATCCTATTTGACATAACGTCAGAGAAAGACCGTGGTTATAGCAAAGAAACTATGATTAAATGGTTAGGGTTAGAAAACGCTTGGTTAAAGCAGCTATAATCCATAGTTTTATGTATAATCTATGTATTATAAATGTAAAATTGCTCACAGTGATGAAGTTACAGACAATCAGCACCTGAATCTGCAGTTATATAGTTCCTGCTTTAAAGTGAGTTTCAGCTCATTGTTTAGCTGTCCGGCTTCAACTTTACTGTTATGGTTCACTCTCAAGGCTCTCATAAGCCACGTTTCCACTGCAGGAATTTTACTCAAGAACTAGGAACGTTTTGAGGAAGTCACTGCGTTTCCATCGTGGGGACCAGGGTCTAAAGTAAGTTCCAGGGACTTTATTTTACCCAGAAAAAAAGTCCCTGCTCAGGATAGTAGTACTTTCCAAAAGTACTGGAACTTTGGGGGGTGGAGCTTACAGTGCTGAACACTTCTAATTGGTTGATTAGAGGCTAGTCGCCGAAGTCAATTATTAGTCAATTATCTCTTTTCCACTGTTGACTCAATGACCACATTTGCAAACCAATAAATCACTATCAACAGCAGCACAACTTGAATTTCCTCCATGGTTACTGTGCTGTTGCAGTGTTGCATAAATAATGATGCCTGCCTGTCCATTGCTTTGTATGGCGAACAGTGTATGTCGTGGAAATTGTATTCCTGGTGAGAGGTTGAGCAAATAACTGTTGTCTTTGAAGAATTCATTTAACAAAAGAAAATAAACAGAGAAGTACTACAACAGAATCAGCTGGACCAGAGGCTCTGTCTCCTAAGACAGTCTCTAACGTCTGGCCCAGAGCAAACAATTGCATGATCATTTACACAGTCTGAGCATCTATGCTTTGGAGAACAAAAGGTCCTTGACTGGTCCCAGTCAAGAAAGGAGAAGAACAGCTAGTGTGGAAAACAATCAACAACCCCACATCCCTGACCTAAACCCCACACATGTGGACAGACTGGAATAACAAGAACAATAATAAAAAGGGAACAGGTTAAAGATTTAAAACAATATATAAGACGTAATAAAAGGAGAAAAATAGCACTCTTATAAGTACTTGCATAAAAGATTATAAGTGTAAGAAGAAAACAATTTTCTGCCCTTACAGTGTATATCTCAGATCAAGAACATATAGTACGTCAGTCGACTAATTTGCTTAATCTTCGCAGGTCTTTACACCAGGCTGGAGGAACCTTTTAGTATTGTGAAAAGTAGTTCCTGGGACTAAAAGTTCCTGGTACTTTCGGTGGATATGTGGCTATAGTAGCTATATAGTGTAGTTTTCGGCCACAGCAGGCAGCTGTTTTCATGAAAAAGCTCTAAAATCCCACTGTTCACTACCTGCTCAGCACCAAACAGCAGACAGGCACAGTTAATGACCAGCTGGTGAATACTGGAGCATTTAGAGCCAGAAAGTTCTCAGGAGTTGGTAGGGACAAAAAACAGAGCTAAAAGAGAGGGAAAATTGGACTTACATTTGACATGGACATGGACACAAACACAGTGAATGAAAATATTGTTCCATAACTGCTGGATGTGTAAATAAGTCCTCCATATCCACTTAAAAGATGATGATATATCAAGGTTGTTCATAACTTGTGTTGAGACCAAATAAAACTGTGGTGTTCAATGAAAAGGCTAATATTAATTGCAGGCCTGTGATGGGAGCAAACTCTGGTCAAACCATCTGGCCATAAAAGTCAGACATGCCAGTACATGCCCATCCACCACTGGAATGTGCACATGCTTACTTTCCACCACTCTACATACTGTATAGGGCACATTACTTCCTGCATTGTTGGAATAGAAACATAAATCATGAGCTGCTGAATCGTGTAATATGTATGTAAATCTGAAAGCACCTTTATTCTTGTTCCAACAGGTTCGTCTAAACTCTGTGCCATTAGGATCAGCGGAGTCTCTGCGTCTGTCTTATAAGTCAGGGTTAGGTCGCCTGGTTCAGGTCTACACAGCCTATCTACACAGAAACATTCAGGAGACTCCAGGACCCCCAAAACACAGAACCAGACCAGCAAGTGGACCAAGACAAGCTAACACGTTTAGCATAACCAAAATGACCTGCTCTAGTAAAAATATCTCAGCTGATAAATATAATGACACTACCACATCCAATTCAACTGCTGATATTAAAAGAAGCTGTAAAACAGATGGATCCCGTGAAGACTTTGGACGTAATGTGCCAGATGTAAGCAATGAAACCACTGTAGGTGCGGTAAACAGAAAGACACTTAACAACTCCACTGGATATGGTAGGGCTGAGGAAGTCAATACTCTGGGTCTCTTAGTTATTGAACTATCGAGGAATGTGAGTCACAGTGTGCGGCATCACCCTTGTCAGTCTCCAGCCATACAACAAGCTTTGGTGACTCGTATCATTAAGGCTCAGGACCTGGAGCGCAACAGAAACTTTTTCCTGTACCCTGAGAAAGTCTTCCACAGCCTGCTCAGGCAGAGGGAGGACTTTGAACTGAAGACCAATTAAACAGACATGAGTGATTTGGAATTAAATCGATCATATACAGGCAGACAAATGATCCTAACATTGTGCTGTTATCTTAAAGAGACTTCCATCTAATCAGTGACTTTAGTTAGTGAACCTCATTCCCCTTTAACTGACCACAGATATGAAAAGGTTTGACGATCAATATTCTATAATACTTTGACATTTTGGGAAATAAGCTAATTTAATTTCTTACAGAGAGTTAGATGAGATGACTGATACCAATTTTACTCAATTTTTTACTCTGTCTATTAAGAAGCCGGTTAGCTTAGCTTTGCATGAAGACTGGCTCTTTCCAAAGACAACACAATCCGCTTACCAACACTTATTTATATCCAGTTAACATGTTATTGGCCTAACTTGTTTTTTAATCCATACAAAATAGAAGGGGAAAAAAAATAACATGCTGCAGTTTTACAGGGGATTATGTGCCAAACTATTTAATGGCCTTCACAGCCGCAACAAGACTTGAGACTGTAATAAGTGTTTATAAGCAGATTTTATTACCTTCGGACATTGGCATGCTAGCAGTTTCTCCCTTTTTCCAGTCTTTATGCTAAGCTAAGCTAACCATCTCCTGGGTCCAGCTTCATATTTAGCAAACAGACATGTAAGTAGTTTCAATCTTCTCATATATGCTTCACAACAAAACTAATAAGATTATTTTCCAAAAAGGTTGAAATATATCCATGAGAAATATTTTTTCTGCTGTAGCATACACACTTGGTTGTCATTTTATTAGGTACGCCGAGCTAGTGCTTATGCAGTATAAAACAAAAAAAACATTTTGAAAATCGTTTCATTATCATTTCAGCAGGATGAGATGCATAAAGTATATATCATGCTTATATTATTTCTTTTACTAAAAACTGACTGCTGTATAATATGTATATAATAATTAAACTATTTCAACATAAAACATGTCTATGGTTCCCTAATGTACTCTTAACTTATTAAACTTCACAGAAAACATTTATATTTTTATTCAGTGCATTTGTCCTTGCTCTTATAGGAGCAATTTTTGTGGTGTTAGTAGAACAAAATCAAGTTGGCAAGCCACTTTTTTTTTATTTACCACAAACATTTTAAAACAAAGAATGACAAGTAGGGCAGAGGCAGGTTCAGAGATGTTACTTTCAAGGTAATCTCACTAGAATATTTACAAAACAGTGCAACATCAACCTCTAGAGGTAGAACATTTTAACAGTTTTGCTCCCACAGTTGATCTATTTTCGTTCATTTTTATTAATCCCCGTGTCTCTCCATCAGTGGAGGAAGAAGTACTCAGGTTGTTTAATTAAGTAAAAGTAGTAATACCACAGTGTACAAATACTTTGTTACAAGTGAAAGTTATGTATTAAAAATCTATATAGTATTAGCATCAAAATATGCTTCAAGTACCAAAAGATATTAGATATTTGTATACAATGTCAAATCTCAAGTACAGATAGGTGTATATGGTTAATTCAGAATGTTTAATGATTGATGAATGGTGTTTCAAGTAATGTCCCATTATTGCATATTGATTATAACTCTTTATTGAACATGTTAAAAAAAAAAACAACAAAAAACAAAATAAAAAAAAACAATCAACAAAAGAGATCATCAGCGGATGATCCAAATAACAGTCAATGGCTAAAGAAGCCAGGAAACAGGAATTTCAATAAGTAAAGCAGAAGCTAAGTGCAAATCTGGTCAAAAATTAATAAATTAAAAAATTAATAATAAGTGGCAGGCACGTTGGGAGCTCTGGTTGGGAGGAGAAAGGGAGACATTTACATGGATTCAACAAAACGTTGGGACAGGGAGGGTGACTGGAAGGAAACAAAAGAAAGAAATTGAGTTTACCATGCTAAGGATTGGACACTGTGGGTTAAATAAGTACATACAGTACAGACTTACTAGGAAAGTCATGACATTAGTGCACTTTTATTTAGGTTCTTAAAGGACACGGAATTGGAAGAAAAGGATATAAAAAATTTTTTAATCTTCAGCCCACACACCAGTACAGTAGCTAGTAATTTAAGATGGATGCCAACTGCCAATAAACACTAAACAAAGTAATCAGGTAATGCAGTAAGGTTTGGGCATGCAGGGTTACACTCTACATTATATTTAAGGGCGAAAAGTTAAAAAGATATATCATCATCATTAACAGAAATATCATTCAGAGAGGGAGACATTAAAGATTATAGTGCATGAGGCAGGACAGGATTTCAGGGGAATTAGAAGGGGTTTAATAGATTGTATAATTTAGAGAGAGTTTGTTTTGTTTTTGTTGTTTTTTATTAATTTACCGAATTCAGTTGATATGGACAAAGTCCATGAATCTACACACTCCAGGCAGTAATGCAACTCAATGGATGCCAGCTGCCGTAAAAACCCAAAGAAGAAGAAGAAGATCTACACACTCCAGTACGGTAGGTGGCAGTACCGCCAATAAACACTAACGAAGAAGAAGAATCTCATCCGCGCCTCCCGCCCTCTTTTTCGCGCGTGTTATTGACGGCACGCGGCGCTGCGTGACTGCGTATCAGTGTAACTTCCGCACAATATGAACAGGACAAACAGAGACCACTGCTAAGCGTTTACGCAGTAGTTATCACAAGGTAAGACGGTTTTCTGGTTAAATAATTAGTAAATACGGTTTTAAATTCCGTATGTAGCTGCATTGTAGCACTGGTTTGAGTTTCGGTCGGATACATCGCGCTAAAACAAAGTAGAAAGAAAGTGTCGTAGCATTTATTAATATATCCGTTAAGTTAGACGATGCCACGTTGTGAGAAAACAGGCCACGATACAGCTGCTACATTAACCCACATAATAGTTTATTAATACAGTTCAACAGCGGACTAGCTTGTAACGTTAAAAGAAGTACTAACAGGATTTTAACTATGCTACGTATGCTAGCTAATAGGCTGAACATGCTAACTCCCCAATGACCAATCAAGGAGGGGCGTTATCTAAGTTAGGCTGTATTAAGGTTTACATTACCGACAGTTGTTGTTCAGACAAACTCCTTTACTTAAACACAAATAATTCATCCCATACAATAACCCAATATGTAACGTTACACTGTTTGATAGCACAGTCCTTCTACAATCGACGGCATTTATCAACATTACTGAGGTGAAACCTACTTTTGGTTCTGCTTCCAATAAACAAAGCGTGAGCAGCGGCATTGTAATGTAAACATAAGTTTTATAAATGGCCACACCCGCATGAGTAGTTAGCTGTAGTTTTAAAGTATGCGGTAAGTTACATGCTAAGTTAATTAGTTTCATAATTTTAAAAGTGGTTTTTGATCTGGACCTGTAGTAATGTGAGAAACGTGCATGTAAAAACAAACAAATGTGAAATTGCCCTTTATTTCCTTTTCACAAATAAAAAAAGTTATTCAGGCTGCATTAAGGCTTTCACAACATTAAGAGGTGAAATGCAAGTTCTTACATTTGTAAAAGGCGAGTAGGCTAATAGCATATCAGTTTCACAAGTCAAAAAGGAAAAACGCAACCTAACATCGCACTGCAAGTCAGTTGCCTGAACAGTTTGCCTGAATCATACCTTAAACATCCAGGAGAAGTTCATGGACAAATTGTCGATACATTCCCAATTTTGTCCACGCTTGGTTTATTTAATTTATCAAGCTAAGACACCTTTCTAGTTTGCAGCAAAAAAGTTATACCGAGAAGTTTCATTTTGTTTGTGTGAGAGAGAGAAGCAGTGGTCAAATGAGCTGGGAAGGGTGATGGCGATGGCGCAGTGGATAAGACACATGCGTTTGCTGTTCAATCCCCCACTGTGACCCATCCACCAATTTATCCCTGAGCAAGACACTTAACCTCTAGTTGCTCCATAGGCGTGCAACCTCTGATATGTATAGCAATTGTAAGGTGCTTTGGATAAAAGCGTCAGCTAAATTAATAAATGTAATGCAAATAGACATGTTTACTGAAATCAAACAAGTTCTCGCACGTTGATTTTTATACAGTGAAATTACTTCAAATCAGCCACAGCCAGCAACATTCAAATCCAATTCACTTCAGCACATTTTGTAAAATGCGTTTGAGTGATTTTTGCTACTTTTTCTTACAGAGTTGGACAAAATGTCGGATTCAGACTCTGATTCTGACTGTGGTGGTGAATGGAGTTACAGAGAACGGATGAGCGCTGTGAGTTATTAATCAAAATATGTGCATTACCAACTTATATCTTTTTTCTTTTTTTTTCTGATGAGCTGTTTTTCTTCCCTCAGAGATTTATGTCCCCAACTAATGACATTATCGCCCTCCGTCCATCAGGTAAGGGACATTTAAGTCTTAGTTCACCAGTCACATGAATCCAAAACAATAGGGCTACTATTGTTTTGTTATACATCAAATAAAGATGGGTGACAAACTAAAGGAAAAAACAACATGACAACAAAAGGAAAACCAAACATAGCCAGTAAAGGTGGGAATCTCTAGGCACCTTTTCATTTGATTATGATTCAGGGTAATGATTGACTATTGATCAGAATCACAAGAATGCACTCCAGTAGAAGAGAATGGGTACAGAGCGAATATTCGTATACCAGAAATGGTAATGTGACCATACCTCAAGGCTTCACTTCTGTAGTTCACAGTAAAAGCCTTCCAACCATATGGTCTTAGCCATATTGCACAATATGTTGCAAGAGACTGAAATGGACAAGACATACTGCTGATTTTTTTATACGTTTCATTGTGAAATTTTGGCTACTTGGTTTGGAAACCTTGCCATTTTTATCAGCCATGACCAGATTTCACATTCATTTTTACTTTTATTTTAATGTTCAAAATAATAAATAAATGCTGATAAAATACATAATCTATTTTTCAGACTATAGTCGTCATTGCTAGCTGTCCCTCGACATTTGTGATGTTTTATTGTTTTAATTTAAACTGAGAAAGTAAATTCTCTATACAGCTGTCAGATTGACAGAACTAATTTTTTTTTATTCGGCATGTTTTTGTTTGTTTAGAGGAGGTTTTTGAACGATGGAGCCGTATCTCTGTCGACACTAGAAAAGAGGCTGGACAGCGGATGAAGGTCTGTGCCTTCTGGCTTCCCATTTTTCTGCAGCGCGATGAGTCCAGTCCTATGGCTTGCTGGGCTTTACAGATCGGCCTAATCGACTCAAAGTAAGTACAGTTATGATTGTGAACAAGTTTTAGTTTTTTTTTGAAACCTCCAATTAATAGACTGCTCAAGAGTTTGTTCATGTCTTTTCTTGCTACAGTGGTGATCTAAGCTTGAAGCACCTGCCCAAGATAGAAACATTGGAAGCAATCCTCAGAGCCTTGGAGAAAGGAACTGTAAGTTGACTATGTAGTAGTTTAGTCTAATAGCCAGTTTATTAGCCAAAATGCTCCAGACACCAGAGGGATTTTTGTTTCCACCACATGTGAAGAAACACACAAATTAGGCACATGTTGGATTAAAAAAACAACTGCAGCATTTAAAATGCTACTTTCACTCACAAGAAGATAACAGCACAGTGTGTCCTCATTTAAAAGGAACCTGAAAGCAAGCCTACCTTTTGTTGGTTAACAGCAAGAAATTTCCACCCCTTGTCCTAGTATAAGATACTACAGTACTTTCTTTTTTTTGTGAAAGATTGACCAATGATTGATGATCAGCTCAAATTACAAACTCCACTTCGTAACATCCCACCTGGAGTAGGGACTTATCCAACACCTAGATCTATTGAACAGGACCTTTAGTCCCTGTTTTAAAAACTTGTGTACATGTGTACCATCTTTTTTAGCTCATCACAGATACATAAGGAGACTTTCAGCTTTATTATCTGTCTATAAAAACTGTTTGGGGAGATGTCCTGGAGAAGATGTGTGATAGGGGGCTTAAAGTCAACATTGCAACACAAAATCAATAAGTAATGC